GTATTGAAACATGATGACGGCAGGTGTTCCCAGCAAATTGTATATACATAATATGCGAGGACGCGTATCATAATGTCATAATATTGCGGTGTAGATCGTTTCAGAGAGAATTAGTCTCGAGAAGCTGCACATAATCGTTTCTCGACTGTACGAATACTTCTATATATACGTCTCATATACTAAGTAAATCAATAAATGTTTTTTTTTGTATTTGTACAATACGAAAAATTTTAATTTTTAAGAATTTTTATGAAATATCAGGTATATATAAATAAAAGAAACACTTTCAGTACACTTTTAAAAAATAAATATTTATAAAACTTTAATGACACTGCTACGATAATAGACCAGCCGAACAATAAACACATGACATAAATGATCGGATAAGCATAACGCGGAAGAGGTCCACGACTGACGCCACATTTTCGAGAACAGCGCGTGCGCAATTCTGCGTGCCAGCGATTTAGTACGGAGAACCAAACTGTTTAGTTCGTAGACATGAAACCTTCAAAAATATTTTTTGGTAGAGCAAACTAAATTTTTCGATTGATTGTCACTTTCTTTTCTGTTGTGCCAACCATACTTTAGTAAGGCCAACTAAAAATGCTTAACTAAATTATTTTCTTATTATTACGATATTATTTTTCTCAGTGTATATATATATATGTATTTATAAAAGCATAATTTTTTTGTCATTTTTTTCTAGAGAGTGCCTCATATATATAATGATCGAGCATTTCAATCACATCTGATGCAGTTTAGGTTGTTTGGCACTTGTCATGTATAATAATTTCGAAATTTAAAAGAAAATTCGATATACAATGCATAAAAATTTATGTTATTTAATTCTCCACTCACAGACTAAGAAAATTTACTGAAACCATATTGGCATGCACTCAACCTAAAAATAAAGCAGGAAAAACATTATTCCAGTTTCGGAAGAACGAAAATGAGAAAACATTTCATCCGTCCATTTCACTACCCCCTTATTTTATCAACATCATGTACAGTTAACCATTCGAGCGGCAGTAAAGATAGAATCTTGGCTTCTGCAGTTACTTTTTGACATAGTATTTTACGACCCTCCTTCTATCAAACACACACATATATATATATATATATATATATATATATATATTTAATGTACAATTTATATTTGTGCACATATATTGTATATAATTATATAATCTAGATATTAAATAATCCATATATAATATTATCTTAATTATCTCATTTAAATAGTATATTATATTTTCTAAATAATATTATCTAATATCGCCTTGTCGGGCATATGTGGAAATCTGTCAGTACCCCTTTAGGTTCATATTTCAATATCTGCACAGAATATAATATACTGAAATAAAATAAAAACAAAATGAAAAAATAGTATCTATATGAAATAGAAAATTTGTTCTTCTATTTATAAACAATAAAACAACAAATAATAACTAATATATCTCAAATAGGAAAATTGTTGATATAAGATAAAAAAAATAGTGACTTGTTCGTTATATATAGAGGGTTAAACATTGAAAAGATCGGAATACTTTATTTCAATTTTTCGAATATCGGCAATTTTATATTTTCCCGTCACGTGCCATATAATAAGCATTTTCCTATCGATATTTTATGCTCCAAATCCTTTCCTATATGGACAAAATCGAGAGATAAAAGATATTTCACACATATAACTTTGGTTCGACAATGAATATGCGTCCCTTTTTATGTATATAGATATCTATTTCCATTCTTATTTATATATATATATATTGTATACACCAGCAATGGCTGTTAGCACTTTTATCAAATAATAATAATAATAAATTTCAATGCTTTTTGCATATACATGTGTTAATTGGTTTTTATCAATAAATATGACGTCACTTTTTTCAATGTATCTCACCATTTATCACAAAAAATTATTATCATTATTTACGTAAAGCGACAGGAATTTTCGAACAAACAAAATTTGTACATATATAAAGTCTCTAAATTTTCATCTTTACTTGTCAATATTTAAAAAATATATATATATTTTCGGGGACGCATGATTATGTTCTAAAAATCATTAGTCATAATTTAAATTTTATCGAATTTTATTTGTCCTAATTAGTTTTGAGCCGAATTTTAATTTGTTCGAAATAGCATTTGGCATAATTTTCATCAATTCGATTTTCTATATTGCAGAATTTTTATATAACCGAAAATTCACTCCACAGAATTTTTATTTCTTCGAATTTTTATTTGTCAGAATTTTTATTTGCTCGAATTTTCATTTTAAATAATAGGCATTTTAAAGAATTTTTATTAGGTAGAATTTCATTGAACAGAATTTTTATTCAGATGAATTTTCATTTGTTCGAATTATTATTTGATATAATTTCCATATAATCAATTTTTTATACTACAGAATTTTTACTTAACCGAAAAATCATTTGTCAGAATTTCTAATTGATAGAATTTACATTTGTCCGAATTATCAAATGGCCGAACAAACAATCGACAGAAAGATTTCGGCGCGATTTTTAAAATCAACCAATAACAATTTTATGAATAATTTTTGATTGGTTGATTTTAAAAATCGCGCCGAAATCTTTCTGTCGATTGTTTGTTCGGCCATTTGAAAATTCGGACAAATGTAAATTCTATCAATTAGAAATTCTGACAAATGATTTTTCGGTTAAGTAAAAATTCTGTAGTATGAAAAATTGATTATATGGAAATTATATCAAATAATAATTCGAACAAATGAAAATTCATCTGAATAAAAATTCTGTTCAATGAAATTCTACCTAATAAAAATTCTTTAAAATGCCTATTATTTAAAATGAAAATTCGAGCAAATAAAAATTCTGACAAATAAAAATTCGAAGAAATAAAAATTCTGTGAGTTGAATTTTCCGTTATATAAAAATTCTGCAATATAGAAAATCGGATTGATAAAAATTATGCCAAATGCTATTTCGAACAAATTAAAATTCGGCTCAAAACTAATTAGGACAAATAAAATTCGATAAAATGTAAATTATGACTAATGATTTTTAGAACATAATCATGCGTCCCTATTTTCGTCATTTTCTAAAAATTACATGAAAGATAAATTATAAGGTTAGGGTAAATGTCCCAATTACTGTGATGTACAACCCAAGACCGACTTTAATGATAAAATAATAAAAGTGTAAATGAAATAATGATTTAATTATTTTTGTTAAATCACTATTAGTGTCTATTAAAATAGAAACGATACTTTAAACTTGAAGAAATAACAAATATATTATTAAAAATATTAACTTTTTTAAAAATGGCATATGCTGGTATTACTGCAAGTTTGCATATGAATTACTGCGAATGGTGTGCACCAATTACTGCGCTAAAAGTGTTGATTTAGAGGTTAGGTTGACTGGATGGGCCACAGTAATAGCAGCATGAGAAAAATATACGCATGCTCTAATTACTGTGATAGGTTCAATTGTAACTTGAATAAATAATTTGATAATAGTCGAAATATGCATCATTAGTGGATATAATATCAAATATCATTTGGAATAAGTTTTAAAGTCATTTTGAAACAGTTTTATGTTCTCAATTACTAAGTTTTACTAATTTTATAAAAATCACAGTAATTGCCGCATCAGCAGTAATTCATACACTTACCCTATTATAAAATTATACACAGTCATAGAAAAAAATAAAAAAGTTCTAATCTGGGGGTCTGACTGTGTTTACTATATATTTTTGCGGTCCCTGAATCCGAATCCGAGGACCATTTAAAGGATGTCATTGTCCCCACAAGTCAACTACCGCACCCTGCTCTATTAAAAATTTAGTAACTTTTATAGTAACTTTTAATTTTAGCAAAAAAGTCACTAAATTTTTACTAGAGCAGGGTGTGGTAGTTGACGAGAATTAGGACAAATGGCGAGTGAGCACAATGCGGCATCCTTCCCTTTTGCATTTTTTGAGGTTATGGCAGAATTCTGAAGTGAGTAGGTTAAATGGGCCTCGGGTTTATATTCAAGGACCTTTAAATACATATACATAGTAAACATATCGAGATCATAAAGAAAATGTTTTTTTTCTTGCTTGTTGTGCAGATAAATTTTAGGGTTTTTTGAGGTTATGTCAAAATCTTAATCTGATGGGGTTAAACAGACCTAGGATTCAGATTCATCGACCCAAAAAATATATATATATATATAGTAAATTCCCAGATCAGAACTTTTTTAATTTTTTGTGTGGCTATGTTCACAGAAAATTTAAAGGTATTAAAATAAGCTGCAACGCTTATTATTTTAATCCAATTTTGCTTATTTTAATCCATTTTGGTATTAAAATAAGCAAAATTGGATTAAAATAATAAGCGTTGCAGCTTATTTTAATCCCTTATAATTTTCTGTGTTATTAATAATTCCGAATCATATCATTTTGAATAGAAATCAAAATGTTTTTATGTTTTAACTATATTCAGATGCCCTCATATATCTAAAATATTTATTGTAAACTTTCTTTTATATATATACAGTTCCCGCGGTTTTATCTTTTAATAAAAAAATGTAAAAAAAAAAGTTTTAAGAATATACAAACAGAGTATTAAAAAAATATTTACAGTTAAAATTTTTGAAAAATATTTGTCAATATAACTATATAATTATTTTCCTCAACGTCATGGTTTTTATGAAATAAAAACAATGATTAATTTACATCTTTTTATTTTATATGAATAGTTTGAAAATTTGCATTAAAAAATTTTTTCAGTTAAAATTTTGATTTAGAATACTTTATTTGATTAAATAAAACATATATTCGATTGGCTTTCAAGAAAACAGTTTTCTGCGTATGTTTAACGTTCGAGATTATATAGTATTCGGTCCATGAAGTTGATCAATATCTGTGTGATTCTAAATGAGAAAAAGAGAGTTTCCTTTCAACAATGATAAAGGAACTTTTTTGTTATCTAATAGGGGGTCATTCGTATTAAATGAACTGCTCTTTTTTCACAGGAAGCAAAACGTGTGGGTGATGAAGGGTCACCCTAAATTCAAGCGACGTTACAGTCTGCAACCTGCGTCCTTTAAAGAGGGACAGGATAATCCGCCAAATAGAACTCCTAGGTAAGTACCTATATTAAATACATTAGTTTACAAATTTTTTGGTAATTCATTTTCGTTTTCAGCGACCCCAAATTAGGCTAAAAAACACATTTCCAAAATGTTACACAACATAAAGGAAAAATAGTAATAATTAATAAGGCTCGTAAATTTTAAATTAAGTTTTAAATTAACTTGAACAACATGCAAAAGTTAAATAAATTTTACTTTTAGAGGTTATGTTATTCCCCTTTTAAAATTATAATTATTTTCAATTTTCTAACACAAAAATGAGACATTTATGTATTTCCTATAGGAAATGGATTTTCGTATAATAATTATTTTTAATGTTGTACCGATTGTAACAGTATATATACACTGAGAAAACTGTTTGGTATCATGTATCAAAGTTTGCACAGTTTTCCTAAAAGTATCAAATTGAGACCAAAAATTGCATTAAATCTTTGTAACGTTTTGATGCACATAAGTTATATCAAAAAGAGATCGTTTTGTGTATCATTTTTAGAAATGATACACGAAACGGTCTCATTTTTTGATGCAAAAAATTTAATCAATTTATATCAATCATGGCCGAATTGAATCGACTCAAAATTAAACGAATTTTTTTCAGATATTTTGGTAATAGTACAATTGCGGAGACCATTTCACTATTTAATTTGAAAATGAAAATAACAGAAAATCAAAGACAATGTGCAATTCGATAATTAAAAAGTGACAGCTTATAAACATAACCTAAAATGCATGAGAAAAAATTTGTCGATAAAATCAATATAGCCGAGCTTTTTAGAAGGTAGATGGCAGTTTTGCTTTTTATAAAAACGATTCAGAAAAAATTTAAAGAAAGAAAATAGATGAGTGCTGCCATCTACCTTCTAAAAAGCTCGGCTATATTGATTTTATCGACAAATTTTTTCTCATGCATTTTAGGTTATGTTTATAAGCTGTCACTTTTTAATTATCGAATTGCACATTGTCTTTGATTTTCTGTTATTTTCATTTTCAAATTAAATAGTGAAATCGTCTCCGCAATTGTACTATTACCAAAATATCTGAAAAAAATTCGTTTAATTTTGAGTCGATTCAATTCGGCCATGATTGATATAAATTGATTAAATTTTTTGCATCAAAAAATGAGACCGTTTCGTGTATCATTTCTAAAAATGATACACAAAACGATCTCTTTTTGATATAACTTATGTGCATCAAAACGTTGCAATAGAAAAAGATACAACCAAGTTTACTGTGTGGTTGTCCCTACCAAATTTTTTATTTGATATATGTGCAACTAACCCGTTTGGTTGGGAGTACTAAATTTTTTTGTCCAACCGTTAAATTTCGCTCAATTGAATTATTTAGTAGGTGTAACCAAATAATTTAGTCTACGTAATAAATACATTTATTAGAATGAAAAAAAATGTTATGTTGACGTAAATAAAATTTAGTTATTTCAACTTACTGTTTTCGTTGATTAAAAAAAATTTTTTTGTAGAAATAACTAAATAATTTATTTTATATAAAATAGTTTATTTGGTCATTTTTACGATTTTGTATAAAAAATAAGGTATTTTAATTCAAGAGAGATGAGATTAATAATATAACTTTATTAAATTCATTATGCTTAGACATTACAAAAATAATTTATCTTCCCGTAAGTACACACTACGCGCGTTTCATGAAATATCTCAAAATGATATCGCATAAAATTGAGGAGCAAGTTTTCAAAAGTTGATACAGAATGCCACGAGGCATTCTAACCCCCATTCTCTTAGCAAACGTTTTGTCACTTCGTCAGCCATTCTTTCGAAATAAAAGAAACACTTTCAGTACACTTTTAAAAAATAAATATTTATAAAACTTTAATGACACTGCTACGATAATACTGCCGTCCCAACAAGAGTAGCAGTAACTACATTTTGGATAAGTCACTTATTGGTGGCAGTGGCAGTGGCAAGTAGGTGACTCATCCTAAATGCAGATACGGTTATTCTTGTTGGGGCGGCAGTATAATAGACCACCCGAACAATAAAAACACATGACATAAATGATCGGATAAGCATAACGCGGAAGAGGTCCACGACTGACTAGGCCCTACGACCGACGCCACATTTTCGAGAACAGCGCGTGCGCAATTCTGCGTGCCAGCGATTTAGTACGGAGAACCAAACTGTTTAGTTCGTAGACATGAAACCTTCAAAAATATTTTTTGGTAGAGCAAACTAAATTTTTCGATTGATTGCCACTTTCTTTTCTGTTGTGCCAACCATACTTTAGTAAGGCCAACTAAAAATGCTTAACTAAATTATTTTCTTATTTTTACGATATTATTTTTCTCAGTGTAGTCTCTCTCAGTTGTTAATATCGTAATTATAATAAAAAAAATTCTTTCACAATTTATTCAATTTTATATTTATATTGAATAATATCATTAAAAACCGAGATTATTACATTTTAAAACAAAGAGAATATTTTTGTATAAATCGACACCGCTGTTTATGCCGTATGAGAAATTAAGTTATTCACTTATTCAAGCAGAAATCTAATATTCCCTCTGTAACTTTTCATAATAAAATCGCTATAAATGTAACCTAGAAATCCACAGTACTTGAAGAATTTAAGACTTTTGAGAAACTTCTCATAATTTTATTTAACTATATATAGATATTAATAATGTTACCTTTTAAAACATGTCAATAAAATTAATATTCAATCTCTTTAAATTTCAATTAAAATTCACAGTGAATACCTAATTTAATAGGGGAAAAAATCCAGTCCTTAATTAAAATATATTCAATATTTCAGACAGGATAATCATTCCAAATTAAAAAAAAAAATTCAATTCACTTCTATTTGAAATGAAAAAACTAAATCAATATTTATCATAAGTTTTGGATAAAATTTCTATGAAAATTAATAAATAAATATAAATTATTTTCAAAGTATATTTATAATAAAGTGTCCTACTTTTTACGAAGAAATTTAAAAAAATTGACTCAGAAAAAGATACTTATTGGAACTCTCGAACTATCCTAAAATAAAAAAAGATTTAGGGTTTAAAATTTTTGAGGAATAATAAAGAAAGGTACAAGGAACATTGCTCTTCTAATTATTTATTCTAAGATAAGTGTATCAATTACGGCGAGTGCATCAATTACGGCGCGTTCATAAAAAAATAACTATTATTACAATTTTATTTAATATAACTGTTGCAAAATGATTAAAAAAAATTATTTTAATCTTTTTTTGATACAATTACTTATAAAGATGCACATTTAAATAATTATTAATTTAATTATTTGAGATCTAATTTTTTTCCGCTCCGCAATTGAAACATTTTTAAGATTTTCATTGGCTCCAATTTCGGCGGGCAAAGTATCTTCAAAATACACGTAATTTTGGTCACCGAAATTGATACAAACGCGCCGCAATAGAAAATTACGGTATTAGTTTTAATTTCTCATATTTGTTTAAATAATCGATTTTTATAGAGTTAAACATTTTTTTAACATCTAAATAACATAACCTTTTAGTTTAATAAGTCTTAAATTGACTTTATACAATAGAAATGTCGAATTTTCTATTTCAAAGGTGTTTTGACTCGAATCGCGCCGCAATTAGTGCATTTACCCTATTATTTAACTACAAAATTATAAAAATTAAGCAATAAAAATTGCGTTGTTTCCTAGTTCATTCATTGGCCACTAGATCGCACCATTGGTACACTCACGCAACGTCTGTGTATTCGCCGCCATATTGTCATTTTCGTTTAACAAATGTGACTTTTAAAACCTTTTTTTAAAATAATTTTACATATTATGTATTTTTAAGGAGAACAGAGATGCGTATTGTACCCTTCTCTATTATTTTAAAAATTTCAGCCCAAAATTTATTCTCATTTTAGAGAAAGTTTTAGGTTTGTAAAACACATTTATTTTGAGGTTAAGTTTGTTACTGTTAGCTGAGGCATATATATAGCAGACGTAAACTATTTAAACTTGCACAAGCGTTGCTCTGAATATCTATTAGAGATATTAAATCCAAAATATATCATTTTAGGAAAGATATACACAATCTCTGAGTATATATATGTACATAGGTATTCTGACTTATAATTATTTTCAGCTTTGAGTATTTATGGGCAAATCCACGAAACTTTTAACTTTTGTGATTCTCGAATCGAACACTTAAAAATCTGAATTATTCACACAAATTTGATACTTTTAAATTAGTGTGTTTTTAATTAAAACTTTGGGTATAATTTTTTTTTTTGCTAAATTATATACAAAGGAACATTTATGTACAGTATTAGAACAAAATATTTATTTGACAATTAGTTTTATAAGTTAAAAAGTGAAAAAATGCTTAAATTTCATTTGAATTTCTTGAAAAAGTTTATATTCTTAACGTTTTTATTTTTGCGGCGTGTAAAATATCACTTCAACTACTATGGAAATATCTAACCGACATATTTTGTCAAAAAATTTTCACTATCCCACACTGAGAAAAATATGCTATTGAATCAATAGCATTTCTGTCAAAGGTATAAAAATTATTGATTCAAAAGCATATGCTATAGAATTTATAAAATATTTTACATAGCATATACTTTTGAATCAATAATTTTTATACCTTTGGCAGAAATGCTGTTGATTCAATAGCATATTTTTTTCAGTGCATTAGTGTGCCACCACTAAAACTAAAAATGCGAAGGTTTGATTGAGTGATAGCACTTTTTTAAAAAATTCAATTGAACGTCTTCTTATGAAAATATCTATTACGGCGTTAGATAAAAATAAAAGTTCAATGCATTTCTTAAAAGGTGACGAAAAAACAAAACTTTTAAGACCTTTCTCAATGATGTGCATCTAATTGTATTCCTGTGGCAACAATTTAAAGATGATAATAAATATCGTGGTTTCATTTAAATTCATACATTTTTGAAAGGCACAACTGCATTTTTGCTTTAAATAGGTCAATCTATAGTGTGATGGAAACATTTTCATAAA